ACGAACAGAGGCAACCCACCGGGACACCTGGAACCAGGGGCAAAAGGGTTGACTGCTAGATTTAGTCCTCTCTCCTCCAATAAGACACCACTACGACGGGAAATACGTGACTCTTTAGCAGCCTTTTTTGGGAGAGAGGCGAGATTGGGCAGTCTGTCCTAGCGCAGCAATACTCGTCGGCCCAGTTTCATGCCACAAAGGCTGACTCACCCAGCAGCAGGACTGGTGGCATCTGCTGCCCCGCATGCGTCCTACTCCCAGGCAGGATTCCGGCTTTGGCAAACTCTTGTTGAGACATTCAGGACCCGTTCTTCTACCAGCTTCCTACTTCAGGTGTCGCAGAAAGCTGTCCACCTACGCCAACAACCCCATTTGGCTGGCACATGCCAGTATCGACTGTCCTCAAGCGGTCATTTGAAGTAAAAATAACAACACTCACTACAGTTTCATTGAGGAAACACTTTTTGGCATTCAGCCAAGCATGTTAATTTTAAGACGAAGATGAAAAAGAAGAAGAAGAAGAAGAAGAAGAAGAAGAAGAAGAAGAGGAAGAAGAAGAAGAAGAAGAAGAAGAAAAAGAAGAAGAAGAAGAAGAAGAAGAAGAAGAAGAAGAAGAAGAAGAAGAAGAAGCACAAGAACAAGAAGAAGAAAAAGAAGAGCAGGAATAAGGTGTCAAACACCATCAACAACAGCAATAAGATCTGACCTCTGCTGGAGTAGGTCATTATTTCCAACGTTCCCAACTCTCATCCTTAGGAGATCTCAAAAATTAGGAAATCCGGTTTAGGCATATTGTTACATTCATCTTACTTTGGCAACCACTCACGGAAGCAAATGAATTCTGAGTAAATCTTCCAAATTAGAGAATTTGTTTTTCTATAAATAAGTTTTAAATAAAGAAAAAGCATAATCTTATGGAATAAGGCGCAAAATCGTCAAATTAGTGCTCTAAGTTAAGAAAGTTGAAATATTTCAAATCACCAGCAGCCATCCATTTCTAGATAGGAAAAAAACTATCTTTTGACGGTGTTTGCCGGCTTTTAAATTAGACGACGTATTGACAGAGGCAAAAAAGTTCTATCAAATCTTATCAAGCGAACCTGCCGAACAAAAACACTGCAAACGCCGATCTTATTGAACATTGCATCTACCGTGAGCTTATGAGACAAAAAGTCCTCTTCTTTGGCAGATAGAGGCCGTGGATGACGGCAAACCGGGCCGAGATGATCATTGCAGTATGCCTTGACTTCAGCTTTAATATTTCTCTTCATGTCTCTGTCAGATACTGTTTAAATTAAACAGTTTTTTTTTCGATTCCCTTGTTCTTCTGAGAAGCATTAAAGTTACATGAATATTTTATCCTGACTGTTGGTTTGTGGCAGGCTTTTAATGCCACCTTGGGAGGCGAGACGGTCTACCTGCCCGGTAGGTCGGTCGCGCAAGCCGCTTAGCATTTGAATACCCAAAAGTTCGACCGCCGTTTCCGACGATGTCACCGTCCCTGCTCCGCCTTGCTACGGATTGATTGATACTTCATGTATCAGCTAACTGCAAAGAAGCACACTCACAGGCCATTCTGAATTTTGAGGCTAACCATTCTGTCTCTCACAAATGGAGTTCTGTCTATTGCCAGTTGAATGGAACAAAAACTGACTCCAAAACTACGGCCATCTAAATGCCAAAAAAGTCACCGGACAAACTCTCCCATACGCAAAAATTGTATCCGATCGTGCCGAAAGATTGTTTAAAAAACATCCGATACCAGTAACAAACTGACCCATGTCTACTTTGCACACAGCTTGTTCATCCTAAGGGCATGGTTGGTTTCGCTGATAGAAAAGGTGTTGTAATTCACTTTATATTAGATTGAGAAGCCTGGCTCCACCCTTATACGTGAACGTCAGCTAGTGATGATGAAGTAGGACCATCTGTTTCAGGTGTTCGTAGACGCGTTTGTATGGGAAAGAACTCGCATTTTGGCGCCGGCCGCGAATTCATGGGGACAATGCGCTCAGATGAAGGAAAAAGCAATGGGCATATTGACTTGGATGGCACATGTGGTACCTGCGACTTTGTCTGTGAGAAGTCTTTTAGAATGTGTCAGAAGCTAACTGGCGCATTCGAAATGTGTGGTCCAATATCCTTTCCATTCTTACCATTTTTCATTCAAGAGAGTATCCACAACGACGACGGAATTTTGTGTTGGGACAAGCAGTCTTCGACAGAACTGTGAGTAATTTCAGCAATTGTGCTTGTATGTTGCTGCTGTTGCTACAGGACAGAAAACAGGAACTTTGAGCAAGTGACTTCCGCTTTATTCACTGAGCAGCGAAAACAGGTCCATGAGTGGATTTGGTGCAAGGATATAAGCGGTTAAATAAGCCTTAAAGAAGCTACATTAGGTGTGCTAACTCATGAAATGCTAACCGAAATTCTGAATTGAGTTTTAGTTCCGAAAGAGTATTTAGGTAGGGTTTTAAAATCAACCGCCGTGCAGCATAATTATATAATAATTTAGTTGCCGCGGGATGTCGGCTTTCGAACGAACTCCTTGCCGGCAGCATGCAGAAACTACACTCTGTAAAAAATGACTACTCAAGTAGCATGAAATTTTTTAACTGGTTTTCGATGCTCTTAGCCTCCAATCATATTTCAGGGAAAATGCATGAAAATGTTCATTCTTTTATCTGTTGGATAGAGAATTACGTCTTCTTTCAATTTTATACTCGAAGGAATGGTTTAATTCGGTTTTTAAAAAGTTTCTAATTATGAGATTTATTAATATCGCGAAATGTCTGCTCGCAAAACATCGCGTCTCTGCATTTACTAATGTTGCTTGTAAAGTTTACAATGTGGTTAAAATCCTCTGCCGAATGTTATGAACCCCATATGGTCTCCTCTCAATACCGTAAAGAAATGTCTGGTTTTCTGCACGCGGAAAATACACGGCTTGTAGATTGGAAACCCCGAATACAAGTGTAACGTCAGATCGGGTTCAAATTTATTCGGGAATTGGAAATTTTTTAAAACCAAATTATGCCAGTCCTTTGGGTATCAAACTGGAAGAAGACGTAATTTTCTATCCAACAAATAAAACAATGAATGTTTTCATGCATTTTTCCATGAAATATAATAAAATGCTAAGGGCATCGAACATCAATTAGAAAAATGCATGCTACTTAAGTAGTCATTTTTTACAGAGTGTAGTTTCTGCATGCTGCCGGGACGGAGTTCTTTCGAAAGCCGACATCTCGCGGTAACTACATTATTATATAATTATGCTGCACGACGTTTTAAAGCCCTACTTAAGTAATTTTTTCGAAACGAAAACGCTTTTCAGAATTTCGTTTAACATTTCCTGAGTTAGCACACCTACTGTATATCTAACTAAATGTCACTGACTGTCTTCCAAGGCACATTGTGTGGTCGCCGAGCAGACAACACCAGCTCTCTGCCCCTGTTACAGAACAAGAGCTTCTGCTATTTAAAGGGGAAGTCTACCATGAAGGTCCCCTAATGGGTGCTAAATAAAACAATCTATTTTTTTTATCATCGTAGTGAATAAGACTTTAGTTCCCTTTAAATAATTCAAACAGTTTGCTCTATTCTTCTCGGGTACTCTTAACTGAAGAGTTTCATTAACTCGGGCTGTCAGTTTACAGATAGCTATTTTTCCTACATGGAGCTTTCGCAAGATCACCAAAGAGAACTTTGCAGAAATTTTTGCCCATTTTGCAAAATCTGCTGTGGCGGAGCAGTAAATGTTCTTTGAGAACTACAATCATCAGGCCAAATCCCAAGTTGTAGGAGAAGACGGAAGTCACCAGAATGAGGGGTTTATCGTGTACTGCCCCCCAGTCTATTAACAAGTGCAATGATCTTCCCATTCAATACACCGTGCTGAGACTTCGTCTAGGCGGAGTAATTGGCCACGTGGGGAGCGCACAGGTGAACACTCTTCCCAACACCCGTGTCAGCGCGTCAGATGGTCGAGCAATCATCACACGAACATCCAACGCACGTGATGAAATTGCAGCAATTAACGACGCGAATGTCGACCATCACGCCACGTGCAACGATCCCTGATGAAGGGGGGGGGGAGCCGTGAATATTCATCGTTATGCGGTAGCATGGCTACTGCATCTTATAAATACTGCAGCCGCATATGCGTGAGCCACCCTTATCTGCTTTGTCTCTGATGATGGATTCGAGCAGGAATCCGAAACGTCAGGCTAATAAAGCTCTTGTCCCGGCGATCGTGTCTTCTTCTTCTTCCTCTTTTTCAAGACCGATTCCTGGGACTCGTCTCTTCGCTTCTATTGACCCTGAGTTGTCCTCACAGGCGGCAGTGGCTGCTGGCGAAGCCATGGCTGGTGTCGACTGCGTACAGTCATGCCTGAGAGTCCATAGGACAGTGGTGGCGGCCGCTTTTGTAGGCTCGTGGACCAAGCTCCGGTGGTCTCCAATCGGTGTGTGCCGCATTTGCCGAGGGGTGGTGTCCCAGCGGCTTATTTTGCTGGTTGCAGGAGGACGGTGTGTTCAAGTGGCGCATGGGCAACTGCGACCTTGTGGGCGCACGTGTGTCCGAGTTGAAGCCGGCCGAGTGGCTGCAGGTCAGCACGTCTGGAAGTGTTCGTCCCGACAGTAAATGACCTTGACGCAACGAGGCTCTAACTAGGGAAGCCAGACATGGCCATGGCCCGACACCCCAGTGTTTACATTGTTATTGTCGATAGTAGAGCGAGATGTGAGATGATCAGGCCAGTGCACGCGTAGGTTGGATAACGTCTGTCAATTATAAATGACTAGCCGGGCCCCGCCACGCGTTGCTGTGGCTCAATCTGATGAGTTTGGAAATAAAGGAAAGAGGAAAGAGAACGTCCCCAACTAAGAAAAATATAAAGGCCGCCGGGTGGTGGTACGTATTGTGTGCGAAACCCAGGATTGTCCTTCTAGCCGCTTTCGATGACAGGGCAATTGTTTGCTGCGCACAGTCGGGCTCGAGAATGCCGGAGTAAGTGGTGACGGCGGGCATTTATTTTGCCCACTGGCGTCGATCAAGGAATTACGGGCAATGTTTGCCTAAAGTCTCCTGCAAGCAGTAGCAGTGCATCGGAAATGGTCTGCTGTTTCCTTGCAAATCCTGCGGTGTTCGACCAAGGGCCTCGAGCGCTTTCTTGTGCGCCATTGTGTATTCATCCCAAACAATAAGTTTGCATTTCTGCAGTACTTTTCCCATGCCGGATGCATTGGAAAGTGCTACACGCGGGAGCTTCAATGAATAGCAGGTTTAAAGGCAATTTCGAAGCTGAATGAACGGTTTTTCTGCCAGGTAGCAGAGTTGCAGCTAGTCCGGGGATGCAAGTGCTAGGGCTATGTCATTTATTGGATTGAATAGTTGCGACAATCGGTCGTTGTAGGAACGTTTTGCCAGTTCCTCCTGGCGCATCTAGAAAGAAGATACCTCCAACCCCGTTACTGACATTCCGTATTATTTGATTCTAAATGCCATTCTGCTCCAGTCTTAGCTTGTGAATGTTTGATTGCAAGCATGGCAGAAGTTGAACCGTGTTTTATTTTTGCTCACGGTGCCAATCCACATCTAACGAAGTAGCAGCCGATTGGTTTTGCGGTGACATTCCCAGTTGATTGAGAACTTTGTTCGTCAGTTTTACGTACATATCCTCAATCAATAATAACGCCCC